TAATAGAAAGTGTTATTGTTATACTGGAAAGCAGCATTCATAAATTCAGATGATCTATAGCGGAAATCTAGATCTAGAAAAAGCATGACTAAAAAGGCAAGAATGAATTCATGTCAAATATGTAATCTACTAGCTGAAAACCAAACAGCGGCAAGGCAGGATTTAATCACAATTTTGTGCTTGCATTCAAAATATTTTTTGCTATTCATTCTCTGATTACAAGGGCATTGCTAACTGTTAGAACAAAGAAAGAAAAAGTTTTCAAATAAGCAGTTAAAATGACAAGAAGAGGAATTACTCATATGCTTTTAAAATACTTAAGGTTTAGCTGGAATGAACGAGAAAGCTCAGTATATTTTAGATTAGAATTTGTAGACATTTTTCTTCCCAAGCTTCCACACGCCTCTGTTGTGTGCTCCAGAGCTTAGAGCTACTTTCACCTTTACAAACAATTGATTTGGTCAGTTGTCAGATTTTCCAATAGAAAATGAGGAGCATCCCTTGTAATTTCTTAGATATTGCTAATAACAACCTGAGCTTTATTATATTAAAAATTTCTCACAACTCAGTCATTAAAATTTAATATATTATAAACACCAGCCTCTTCAAAGGACAAGAATTAATCCCTGTTTTGTCAGACAATGCCTTCCAGAGGGAAGATGGGGGCATATCCTTCGGTTTTATTGCTTCTTGGTTGCTAGATTACCTTTTAAAATGTATTTGTCTATTTATTTATTTTATTACCAAAGAGCCTGGCTAAGGTGCAGTAAGACTCCATGTTCCCTACTGGAGAAGCAATCTTCCACATTTTCATGAAACCTTATCCTTATGTTTCCTTTACACTGAGATGCACTGATGGAATCAACCCTTCCTCGTGTTTCACAAATTGAGTGTTTTCATTTTAGAACACAGCTTCTTCTTTGGGGAGAGGGAAGGAAAGCTTTTGTAGGAGCCAGAACACTACTTTTGAATCTAAAAAAGGAAAAGTAAATTCTTTGTAGTTGCAAGTTCTATCTACAAACAGATTTTTGGCTCCTCAGGAATATAACCTCTTTTTGAAAATGACTCACATGGATACAGCTTTAGTGAGACAAAGATTATGCCTGAATCTTGTGCCTTGTCTTCCTTTGGGACTTAATTATGGCATGATGGTATAGGTGTGAAGAGGGCTTCTCGTTCTTTTTATCAGTTTGACTAACCAGCCTTTGGTGTGATTTTTGGATGGTTGTTGTGATTTTTTTTTTAATCTGGATAATGTTGTCTACAATGTAAATTCTTCTGTGTGGACATAGGAAATATTCAGAAACAATAAGCTCTCCCAAAGCCTACAAAGATATTGTACAAACATTTACTTATTCTGAGTTTTTCATAGGATAATTCAGAGTTATGAACAGCTGCTGCTACTCTCTAAATGCATCAAATAACACATTTTCCAGGGCTGGTGGATAACGCAATAATTTCCAATCTCTTCCATAATAATGTATATATGTATCCACGTATGTTTTCAGAATCTTCTTCTGAGTGCTCAGTTTTATCAAATCAGGTATGGGACACTCTCACTGCCTAATACATATGCAATCTGTAATTTATAGTGAAAAATTATACAGATAGGGTGAGGCACATGTCAAAATCTGTGTCACTCAGCAAACTATTTCCTTACTATGACAACACAGTCACAGACCTAGATAAATTGGTTGAAATGGCTGAACTGTTTTAATGTCACACCTCCAGCTACCATAAGAATTAGTATTTTCTAACTGTCCCTAATATTTGAATACACTTACAAACACAGTTATTGATTTATTGATCAAAAGGGAGCAAAGAAAGCAAGGGGAAGAACATGCAAAATCAACAAAGGTCTTTTCTCCTAGTTAGTATCTTGCTATGATGAAAATGTATAAAAAGATGGAAAGTAGCACTGCCAGTGTGGCTGAACACACCTGATGGTTTTAATAATAAATCTCTTAGTAATTCCTGGCTTAGGAGTTATCATGAGAAGCCATTTGAATGCTATATCTCTGATTCTGTGTCTGTTTCTCTACCTTTTACTCTTTAGAGCCTGAAACAGTTGTCTGTTCCTATACTTGATATCTGGGCTTTTCTCCCAAGATTACTAAATAGCTCTTTCAATAAGTCTGTAACCAGACAGCTACAGTTTCTTCTTGTTACTGGGAAAGTTGTATACATACACTCTTTTTACTGGACAGAGACACAACCATGGAAGTCCTTGAGCATTTTCCACAGCCATACCTTACTCAGAGTTAAGTGCAGGTGAACCACATCATTATATATCCTCTTAGAATGAACCAAGAAAACAAATTTAAAATACTTCCTTTTTGTGTTTGTGTAGGTAGGGAAGATAAATAATCTTCCTTCTGACACTTCAAGAGAAGGACACTACAGATGACTTCTGACCCTTTTTTTGTCCACGTGTTCCTAATTCAGTTTAAATCTCTGATTCAATTTTGATCAGAACAATGAAGGTGGAAATGGGATAGTGAACAACCAGGAATAAATTCTTATTCATTCTCAGCTTTTTAATGCTGGCTTAACGTTTTAATAAATCTTCAACCTACGGTAGATTTTGGGGACTTTGACTGAAAATGCAATAACATTTTAGGTCAAGACTGAAAGACAGCTCACAAGTCATAGGGGGGAAATTCATGCTATTTCACCCGCAGTTCACCTGAACCTAAATACTGCTGGTGATTAATTTTAAGTATTAAATTCACATTCAGCTACAGACTTACAGTCATTTAAAACATCCAAGAAAAAGAGAGTGAGAAACAATTATTCAAATGAATAGATCTACTGTTTAACTGTGGAAAATTCTCCAAACTCAAAAATCCCATAAAGCTGCAGAAGTCACAGATACTCTCAAAAGTAAAATCTCCCTATACTAGGGAGAGGGAATTCAGATACAGTGGTCTAGCTGACAAGCTCTCCCATAACATCATTCCCAAGTGCTGTATTTAAAAAAAAAAAACAACCAAAAAACAAACCACAACAAAAAGAAGCAAGAAGTCATATTAACATACCCACAAAAACTTTCTTCTTACTTTTCTCTGAGAGTAACCATCAGATAACACCAATTATTTCTGTTTGCAAGTATTCTCCAGCTGAAGAACAGACAGGGTATTTTCCTGCTGAAGCAAAGTGAATGGTTGACCAGGCACACTTGCTACTGACATAGTAGCATGTTCACTTGTTGAGCCTTGTTTTTGTGATGATAAAATTTTTGGCTGCCTTATTTATGCTGTTTATCCTTATTGGTAAGTAAAATAGTTGGAAAAGAAATGAGATGTTCTACTGCAAGAGAAATAGTAGCTGAGGGGATAGTTAAGCAGAGGATGTAGGCAAAAGTGACACGCACAATCTGTCTTAGATTCTGTTTATCTGCCTGTGACACTGGATGCAATTCCATATCAGGATATTTTTTCCTTTAATTTTAAGGTAACAGATCATACCATGAAAATATAGCATAGATTCAAAAATGCTCTAAATATTTTCTATTTTAAAGCCGAAAAGTTACTTGGATGTGTCCCACATTACTTTAAATCACATCCTCCTCAGAGAGCCTGAGAAACATTCACCTTCAAGGCTGCTGTAGGCTTGCTCTCAGCAGAGAGTCTGTACATCATCCAGTTGACTTTAATTGGGAAGAGTTGTCTCTGAATTTACAAAACCTGAATGCAGCTGAGAGGGTGACCCCCAGATTTGTCACCATACAGAAAAATATGAAGCAACACATTGTGGGGATCCATCAAGTTCCATGACAAAACTGTAGTGAGGAATGCAATAATCTTCAAACCCTATCTTTACATGGAGTTTTACTCCTTTGCAGATCAAACATTCCTCCCCTAGGGAAAAGTGTAATACAAACTGATCACCAGGCTCTCAGAACAGCTGTATAGTCTCAGCTGCTGTTTTCAGCAGCAGGAAGTTTGGAGACATTTCAAGAGACAAACAAATGAGATACCCTGGTTATTTTCCTCTCCAGAAGTACACGCTTATATATGGGCTCCTTTCTGCTGCAATGGTTTAATAGAGTGTTGCTGTGGAAACACTGGCACCAAAGTACACCTGATAGAAAGCTATGTAGAAAAATCAGCCCATATATCAAACTCATTGGGGTTTTGCACTGAAAAGTACTTTGGTGCACTCTTTCTTGGCATTATATTTGTCCTCTGTTTTGAGAGTAGCCTAGTGAAAATTCATGTTTTTCCAATGTTACTTCTCTCTGTGTTAGGAGAAAAATAAAACAAACACCTGAACTGTTAAACACTTGAAAGTATGGCTATAACTGTTTTGAGCATGATAAAGTCAGAAAAAAAGAGATATCATAAAAGCTTTTCACTATTAAAATCTGAATATATATATTTTCTATATAATATCAGTAAAAGTACTTTGGTGAGTCTGTACTGAAGTCTTTCAGAAGTGCTTTATCTGGAATTTCTTCTTGTTTTATTTTTGCTTGGGGTTTTTGTTTGATTTTCTTTCTTTTTTTTCAAAAATAAGGTACTCGTTTAAGTGGAAAAAACACATTTTAATTGCAGTGTATGAGAAACAACTGTTTTTTATTTTCAGTGTGTGATGACATTGTTTACTAAAAGTGATAACTAATGAAGTATGAAATGAATGTTCATTAGGCTGGCACATGAGCTTCTAGAAAAGGTAAAAACCTTTATTTGGACACACAGCTTACATAACTATGAATTATTTTTAGACACAAACAAAAAATGTTAAAAACCAAAGAATTTTCTCTCATGGATGGCGTTATGGAAAATGAGAAGCAGAGAGGTTGTTCTATATTTATGGTCTGACCAACTGATAAAAAATTAATATAGGTAATATCTGAATTATCAAACAAATAGAATCAGCAGTTCCTTTAACATAATTTGTGTATTATTCTTTACTGTGACAAAATTATAAGAAATTACTGAGGTATGTGAAACACCTGAAAGATTACAACAACTGCAGAGACCTTTAAAGATACTTACATCACTTTCATGGCCTTCTCTCAGATTGTAAGTGAGATCATGCTGGATGTCTTCAACAAACTTGTGAGCATACTCTGGGTAAAGGTCGAGCACTTCAAAGAGACCTTTGAGGATAATACATTGGAGGTCACAGTATGTTAGAGCTTTAACATCTGCATTTGTTTTAATAACTTGATCCCTAATGGATAGGTTTGCTCCAATTAAATCTCCTTTACCTGAAAGAGAATACAAAAATAATTATCTTCAAAGCATAAATTCTTTACTTTTTTGAATCATAAAGCTGTTTAATATAATTGCTATACCTGAACCTGAAATCCCATTGTTACCAACGCCTTGTTTAATTAATAACATGCTAAAGGATCATAGACTATTTTTTTTCCCTCTTTTTGCAGGTGCAAACTTATGCACAATTAATTGGAGGTAAAAAACCTAATTCAGGTAGGTAACTGGCTGATTTAAGGGACCAATAAAGTAAATATGCGTAAAATGAAGATTTACACCTAATAGCAGGTGTAATTATTTTTGTAACTAATAGTAACTAATAGCAGGTGCAATTATTTTTGAAAAAAGATATTGTCAGGGGTTTTTGTATGTGTCTTAAAACGTGCAGGTGTTAAAGTAGCATGCAAAATGAAGATTTACACCAGTAACTAATAGCAGGTGCAATTATTTTTGAAAAAAGATATTGTCAGGGGTTTTTGTATGTGTCTTAAAACGTGCAGGTGTTAAAGTAGCATTTTAATGTTTTTGTCAAGAAGAAAAATTTGCTTAGGAAAGAATTCTTGTGCTTTTTTTTTTCGTTTATGGGCAAGACTGGTTTAGAACACTGGCTGTATTAAAAACCTCAATTGACGACATATTGAGGAGCACAAAAATTTCATAATTAAAAGTTTCCATAAATATCTGATCTGAGATATAAATTCCAAAGTGTAGTCATTGAACCAGAGGTTCTCCCCAAAAGTTAAAGCAGATGGTCTTTGTGGAAGACCTGGACAGTGTGATGAAGTGCATTATCAGCAGGTCGTGGGCAACACCAGACTGGGGGAATTGGTTGATGATACTGATGGACAAAGTTGCCATTTAGGAGGACCTCAATGAAAGATAAAATGTCTACTAGGATTTTCATGAAGTCCAACAAAACCAAATGCCAAGTCCCATACCTGGGATGAAAACCCTCCCTGCAGCAGTATGGACTAGGAACTGACCAGCTGGGCAGCAGCTCTTCAGGAAAGGCCCTGGAGGTCATGGGGGCCAAGCTGAATGTAGAGCCAACAACGTGTCCAGCAACAAAGAAGTTCAAGGACCTCCTGTGCAGCATTACCAAGAGTGGAGCCAGCAACTCCCAGGAAATTACTCTTTCCCTCTATATTTGTCATACTTCATCTGGAGCACTGTGTCCACTTTTGGGCTTCCCAGTACAAGACATAATATTGACATATTAGAGTGCAAAAGAGGCTATCAAGAATCAGGGTTTAAGGAATATAATTTATGAGAAAAGGTTGAAAAACAGGCTATTGTTCCATCTTACAAAGAAAAGGCAAAGGAGGGATATTATTACTGTCTTCAGTAGTCCAGCAGAAAATTGTAGAGAAAACAGAATTAAACTTCTCTTCAGAGTGCATGGGGCAACAAGATATACTGGACACAGGGTGTAATAAATTAAATTCTCATTATAAAACAGGAAATGAAAGTTTGGAGCAGTCTGCCCAAAGAGGCTGTGGAATTGTGAGCATCCTTGGACATGTTCAAAATGTGTCTGAATATAACTCTTATGACTCTGAGATGAATTTGCCGTGTCTTAGCAGGTTTAAGTTGGGTAGCTTCTGAAGGTCTGAAGATCCCTTCAATCTTACATTATTATTTGATTAATAAATAATAAGTTAAGACTGTCACATCAGAAAATCCACCCAGCATATGATTACAACTGTATATTACACAGGAAATGGCCAGCTTGCAGAGTAAGTTAAACTAATCAGCCAACCATCCCTGAACCTTCTTAATCTATCTTAAGATAGTTTTTTTTTCTTATTTACATAGAGCTTGAACAACTTTCTCAAAAGCACTTTTCATAAACTGAAGGTAGAGAGAGATTTTCTCTTATGCTAGGAATATGCATACACTAATGCTACTTTGGTGTCTCTTAAAATAATATAAATGAGAGCTAGTATGAGATTAGGTCAGTCTGAAAAAGAGAAATTTGATAGGTAACACTAACATCTGTCATTGCTCAACACAACATGTGTTGCTACATAATAAAATACAGCATAAATCTAAGCAGTAATACTCTTTTACATTTTACTGTAAATATCAACAATTCCTTAGATTTCTTCTATCCTATTAAGCAAAGGGCTGCCAGTGTTAATTCATTGCTGGTTGTTTATGTGGACAATGGAAAAAATATTTCAAATATACTAAAACTGATTCTTAAACATCTTAATTAGAAACTTTTTAGATATATGAAGAGTATTAGTATCCATACTGTATAAACATTTGGAAAAAAGATGGGATCATAGTTAAAATTTTGAAGTAATTTCAGGCTTAAAGATACTAAAATTGATCTGGTAGTGTTAATATATGTTTATTTTTCAAATGAAAATCATGCAGCAAAGGTTGTAGGTAGTAATCTGAAGTTTCATGTAGAATTAATGAAGTGATTAAATGATTCTACCTTGAATGTCAACATTTGTTACATAACAGAATAACTTCAGCTATTCTTAGTAGCTCTTTTCTTTTTTCTTTAATTGGATAACGAGCTTATATATACATGTTTCTCACAGACACATCTGTTTTTCAATAAATCAGGGACATGTAGTCAAAGTTATAAGTGTTCTCATTATGGATATTTTTCAAATAATTTATGACTAATATTTTTAACAAATCAAATATATATGCTCAAACAGTACATAACTCATATTAAAACATATTTTACCATAAAATATATCCTAACCATCATTATTAGAGATAAAGTAATAGCCTCTAGAAGAGGTAAAGATGTATTTAATGAGAGCATTTCACTGAGTTGTTGCTGCACTGCTTGTTAGTAAAAATGGTTCAGTAAACAAAAATGAATCCACTAGAATTAGAATCAGGACAGACATAAAATATTCTGGGAACTGCAAGTAACTCAGCATTGTCAGGGGAAAAAGCTGCTGTCTTGAGCTTACATGACATCAGCAACAAAATTTCTCATAGGGACCTACATGTTTGATGCATTCACCTTCTGTTGGTGTTAATTAGGTTTAAATGATAAATCTCCCATTCCCATAACAAAACATTATTTTTCTGTAATGTTTATGTTTTTTTACAATATGATTTCATTAACTTCTCTCAGAAATCCACTAATCTCTTTCTTACTGTTTTGATTGTCACCATTACACAATGATGCTTTAATTAACACTTTCAGAAGTGCCGGAACTGGGAATCATTAATGAAATCATAGTTCCAATGGAACTGCCTCTTGAACTTCTGCTGTCTTTTAGCTTATATTTTATTATAAGTCATATTTTATATCTTTGATCTATGTGATCCAATGAAGTAAAGAGATTCTTAAACATCTTAGAAACAAAGAAGAGAGGGAGTGATGTGTGCTGTGAATCTAGTAGAATTAAACAGTTATGACACAAATAGGACCTGTAGCACATTTACATTCTAAAAAAGACAAATCAAATGCATTCTAGTAAATTAAAGAAAATTCAACTACAGAAGACCAGAAGCTTCCATTATCAGCAGTCTAGTGTAATCCCACAAAACAGGAAGGAAAGAAAAAAGGAAATGTTCTTTTTAACTCTGTTTTATAAGAATATTCAAAGTTATTAGAAAGAAAAATACATCTAAGTCTAAACAGATATTAAAATCATAATAAAACAATTCCATACTTTTAGAGTAAAATTTACATATTTTGCCAAAAACTTCTTAAACATTAACTGAGACAGATCTAATCATCTTTTAACTGAAGATAAAGAGAATTTCTTTAGTAGGACTTAGATTGAGGCAAATCACAGAAATTTATAGGTAGAGATACTTAGACCCCAATGAATAAAAACAGTCATCTTGCAAACAACAACAAAAAATTTATTAGAACAGAATTTCTGGTCTTTCTCAATTCCGATATACTCAGATAACTGCAGACAGCATTAGTTGGCATGAAGTAGCTTGGGGGAGCAGAGCCAACAATGCTTGTTTTTCACCACATGGCTTTTTTGCAAGGGGTGTTTGTAGGCAAGTGCCAAAGAACGAAAAAGTAGGCTCTTATTGCTTTCTTTGACTTGGGACCATTAGTGGGAGCATTGCCCGGCACTAATTTTCATGAAAGATTTAGGAACTGATGACCAATGCTCTCTGAGCTGTCAATACCATCACCAAATATAGCAGAAAGCAGCAAGTTGTGTCAAAAGCTTGCAAGTACCTGTTTACAAGGAGAGAGAATAAGGAAACCAGAAGTGAAATTTTGCACAGCCAACAATCTGACAATGGAAAGCTCCTTAGGTCAAAATATAAGGAAGGTTAAACTGAATTAAAAAAAATTTAAAAAATAGGAGTGTACATAGAATAGGTATTGAAGATTAAAACTAAACAAATTCTTTCTCATCAGACAATTAGAACACACTAAACCACCAGTTAGTCGTGAAGGTTCTCCTGCACTGGGGGACAATTTTTGCTCTTTGAGTCTATGATTGTGAACATACCAAGGATTGCCAGCACAGTGCTGTCCTTCAGGACTTCCATGGAACCTGAGCACACGAAGTAGATCGCTTGCAGGGCATCCCCCTGCCGGAGGAGGTATTCCCCAGGAGCACAGAAGGAGGTTTTGATGTGCAGAGACAGAGACCTGAGGCAGCCACGACTGGCACACTCGAAGAGGGAAAGCTGCAAAATCTCCTTGTTCAAGTGCATGGTGATGTCTGAACGCAGCTCATCTGGGAAGTCTTTTAAAAGCTGTCCAAAAGAAGGAAAAAAACTATGAAAAAGAAAAAATTTGTAAAATTATTTGTTTCCACTTTTGCAGAAGTGGCCTGATTTAGTGGTGTGGCACATGTCATACTGTTGCAAATACTTCCCTTTTATTTTCTTAATCTCCTTGATGAGATGTGCTATTTTAAGAAATTTTAACACTGATAAATTCCAGGAAAAATATGAATAAATATATGCCTTTTTACTACCAAAAAACCCACCAAACTCAAAAAGCCTCATTAAAAAAAACCACCAAAAAACCAAAAAAAAAACCAGCCCAAAAAACCCCAACCAAAACAAACAAACAAAAAAAAAAAACAAACTAAAAAACCCCCAAAAAACAAAAAAAACCCCCAAAACACAAAAAACCCCAAGAAAACCAGGAGAAAAGGTCAGCAATACTGTTTGTACAAATTGCTTCTAATGCACAATTTAAGTTTGTCCCAGTTCTTCTGTGTGATAAAACACAGTAGGTTGCTCAGGTATCATTGTGGCAGTGACATATACAATGAAAACAGAGAATTCTAAAATTCATCAATATGCAATATTATTCTTCTATAGTAAAACCACCCTGTGTGGTAAAACACAGTAGGCTGCTCAGGTATACCATTGTGGCAGTGACATATACAATGAAAACAGAGAATTCTAAAATTCATCAATATGCAATATTATTCTTCTATAGTAAAACCACTGCAAGAGGAATAACTAAAAGACACACTGCCTTGAATGTGGTTTTTTTCTTGTTATTTTCATTTTTAATAGTGTAACTGGACACTGAAGGAAGGGTGGGAAAGGAATGGAGACAAGTTGCATGTTCAATGGAAGAACCTATGGAAACTAAAAGACCATGAGGTCTCACTTTTTCCTTCCAATCTGCAAGCCCACAAATACAGGGCTTTTTTGTAGTTTGAGGGGATGTGGCATATGAACAATGCACTCAGCCAATGCTTGACCAGGTGGGCTCAGACAAGGTGCTTTATCCATAGGCTGGAAATAATGAAAGACTGATGGTCTCTCCAGGGGCTGTGGTTGTAGTACAGCAGTCACTCACTTTCAGTTTGAGTAAAGGTACAGAAAGTACAAAAGCTGAAGGTGATCATTAACCACATCTAGGAAAGCTTTGACATCTAAGTCATTTTTGCACCTTTGTAAATCTTACTGAGCTCCTTCTGTTGCTAAGATGCTGTCGAAAATCCCGTTCTTTGTGCTGTGCACAACACAAAAAGAATTTATCAGGAAAAGAATGTTCCAAACCCCAAGTCTTTCTGCTTATTTCCACATTATCTTTAGAGACCACTGCGTTTTATAACACAGATAACAAGAAACCTAAAGGGAGTGTTCCATTCAAATAACACTCCAGCAGAGAGAAGCCATTATTTCTCCTGCAGTACAGTAACTCATAACCTGGATAAGTAATTTAAAACAAGCAAGCACAGACACCACCAGAAATCTGTCTTTTGATTTCACTCTCAAGTTACACTGTGCAATATTTAAAAAGATACTGATATAAATAACAAAAAAATTCAGCTGAAATAATTTGTTGACAGTATTGGAACAAAAAGATGAAGGAGGAAGGAAAGGGCATCAAAGTCCCTCGTTTAAAAAGGACCTAAAATCCCCATGTAGATATTTTGTTTAGTGAAAGACAGAAATAGTTATTATAACATTTCTGCTGGCAACATCTAAAAGGTTTCTGATTAATGCCTCTTCAGCATTTGAGAGTCATGGAGAACTGAATTTTACTACATTATTTGATGTTTTAAACCTGCTTTTTCAATTTTGTACCCTCTTCCTGCGATAATCCAGGTTTATTTTTAGGCACGGTTTTCTTTGCTATGTAACTTCACACAAGACACAGCATAAAAAAAATAAAAAATACCTCCCTTCTTGACTTTTAGTCATAGTTCATAGTCAAAACAATCAAACACAATTTCCCCCTTGTTTGGTTACCTCATTGGAATCAATTCCATTATTGACAGACCACGTGGTTTGGAAATATTCAAGCATCCTTTGCTTTAGCTGCTGTGGCAGGTGATGGACCCGGATAAAGTCCTTCAAATCCTTAGTTCTTGTGTGATATAGAGACCATCTGGAGTACATCCTCTGAATTATGGCAGTCACATTGCCAAACACCAAGGCATGCATCAGAGCTAGGAAGGACAGGAATGACATGCAATGTGGAGTGATTAGTTGATCACTAATAAATCTTAGCACAGAAAATAAACAGCATCTTCACAGAGACAAAATTTCTTGATTAAGAGATATAAGAAAGCTTTTGAACGTAAGACTCCTTGAGTAATGGTATATTAATACTGTGGTTTTATGTGATTATTCATTTCTGGTGTTTGAGACATGAGGAATCACTGTCATGCGATAGAGTAGAACTACAACGTATTCTATCTAGTCAATCTACCTAGCAAAATATTAAGTCTACCTAAGAAAATCTAGTCCACCTTACAAAAGAATTAAGTCAAATTAAGTCCATAGTCTAAGAGAAAAGGAAAACAGAACATAGAATCGTAGAATCATAAAATGGTTTGGGTTGGAAGGAACCTTCAAGATCAACTAGTTCCAGTCACCCTGCCATGGGCAGGGATGCCTTTCACTAGACCAGGTTATTCAAAGCCTCATCCAATCCAGCCTTGGACACAGCCAGGGATGGGGCATCCACAACTTCCCTGAGCAGCATCTTCCTGAGCCTCACCACCCTCATAGTAAAGAATTTCTCCCAATATCTAATCTAAACCTAGTCTCAGTTTGAATCATTCCCACTTGTGCTATCACTACAGGCCTTTTGAAAAAGTACAGGAAGGAACACATGTAGGCAGGTATGCTCAGAAAATAATGAGATACTAATAATGGGAAACTAGACTCAAATGGACAGTTGGAAACTACGCAGAATGTAATAGATTTCAGAGAACTCATGTAAATAAAAACAATTACTAATTGAGACCATGTGTAGCAGAATGAGGTTGCAAATAACATTTAAAAATGTATCATATTCTTCGAGAGATATTTTAAAAAGTCAGAAAACAACCCCATTGTAAAGCAGAAATTCAGGCTGAATGAAATATTCAAAGAGACAATCTGATTTCTAATGTTCCTTGACAGGGTCAAATATAGTTAAAATCGTTCTGATAACCTGGAGTTTGTTGGCAATTGATTGGCTTGGGAATAAAAAAGACCAGAAGCAAAATTGAAGAAATATTTACAAATATAGGTCATCTGGAATTGTCTGTGCAGAAATATGTTTGCTTATTTGAGTTGGAAAAATCACTGCTAAATTGTCTGTCATGTGATATTGATCTGATGTATAGAAAATACAGATCTACAATTGTTTATTAAAAAAATTACTAAAAAGTTTGATTATTTCTCTATAGCGAAAACTGTCTTTATAGTGTTTGAAAGAAAGCAGTCGGACTTCTCAGAGTGACAAAGGAATTGGTTTATAAAGAAGATACAAGTTGTTGACCTTGTATGTCACTTTACAGAAGTCCAATGTGAGTGAGACGAGACAAGGGGGAACAGGAGGAGGAAGGGATGTACTTTTAAATGGTAGAAATAGAAAATTCTGTAGTTTGGAGTGTTAGAAAACTTTTACAGGCTGAGAAAAATGCAAAGGAGCTAGTAACAATATCTATGTCCTTATTGTGAAGGGACTGCAGAAAAATAGATAAAGAACTGCAGTGGAGAAATAGCAGAAAAAAAGGATTATGGATGTAGTAAGAATAGTAAGCCTAACTGGAAATTTATTTCTAAAAATAATCAGCTATTTCAACTAGGTGTTGCTCATGATGGTGCAGTGAATTGCTAAGTCATTAATGTCAGAAGCTAGAGCAACAGAATGTGAGGGACTGGTATAATACAAGATACGGGATATTATATTAGAAATATGACAGCTAGGTCTGAAAAAATTCAGCCAGATGCAGATAAATAGGTTAAGGAAATAGTGTAGCCTCTTTAAGGATGCAATAATCAGCTTTAAAAGGGGGTGAGATGAAGCATTAGGTGGTGTATGAATGCAAATATAAGACTCACATGTGATGAAAGTGCCTCATCAGACTCCAAGGTTAGGAGCTGGACAGTGTAGAGATCTCAGTAATGTTATTATAGGCACAAATATCATCTAGAATTTTGTTATTGTGATAGAATCTGTCTTTGCCTATATACATTGGAGGGCAAGTGCTTCTCGTAATGACAAGCTATTTTTGGCTGTGACAGGCATTAGAATTCTTTATCAAATAATCATACACTTACCCTACTTTTTGTAAGAAACCTACTATGCCTCTGACTAAACTCAAGTAGGACAAGTTCAAAACTTCTAGGAACTTCTAGGAATACAGTGGCCTTTATTTTAATAGATACTTTAAATCACATTTTGCTTAGGGAGAAGAGGAACACCTCTGACCCTTATAGGACTGGAGCTACTACAGTGAGCCTCCAATCTCTTAAATACAAAAATACACATTATTTGCTGAAAGAACAAATTGGAGATTATAAGACAGAATACAGTATGATCACATGGTGGAGGGCAGATCTGATCAATATTTTAGAGATGCTGGATGTCCTAGGAATTCTGGTTACATTTTATTAAGTACCTTTTCTTTCCAACTTTAAGAAGACTTACTGTATTGAACAAGATCTTTTATCTTCAGAATATGACTTATAAAAAATTTAAGTTTCAAATTTATGCAAAATAAAAATTAATGTGAAGAGGCCAGTAAAAATGAAAAAGGTATTCTATATGTAACTTATTTGTTAAGTTTATACTTTTTTTTTTTTCTGTTTTCAGCTTTCTCAAGGTTTAAGTAAATTTACTTCATTTTTTTCAGTTTGTAGTGTCATACATACAGAAAAAAACTACTGATAAACTAACTCACCCTATCCATTACAGCAGAAATTTCATTAACTAATGACTTGGTCAAAAAGTCTGAAAAACTTACACCAGTTTTTCTCATAACATGCTTTTCCATTAGCGAATTTTAAAATTAAATATCAGCCAAAAAGATACACTAAAATAGGTTTTATGAAATGATGAGGCATAATGTCCCTAAGCATACAGATTATCACTTTATTCCCAACAGAGCTTTCTAAGACATGCTCACCAATCTTCACAGTATCATTCTATCTCTTTCATATTTCCTTGATTTTCCTCAAGGAAAATTCATGTTTCCTTGAATTCCTCAAGAAAATAGCTGCAGGTTGGTCTGCTCTGCTTTTTTTACCTGGACATATCTTGCTCACTGGACCCTTGTAGATTTAAATCCATTCTCCTACCTGCTTGCCTTTAAGCAACTTCACCTTTCAGTCATCAGTTTCCTCTTACTCCACTCACCTGACTAATTCTTCCCAATATATTCAATGTACAAGCATATTACAAGAAATAAATGTGAAATTGTTGTAACTGGGCTAAATAGATGTATAGGATACTTCTATATTCTACTCTATGGAAGCTCTGCCATATTAAAACGCATTAAATATTCATCACTGCCTTATACAGGAGACCTCTTGATTTCTTGATAGAAATGAAAACTCCTTCCTTCATTACAACATATTTTATGTTATGAAAGCCCCAAAGAATAGAGACCACAGTGTATTTTAAACTATAATTTTATGCAACCATCAAAAGAAATTAATGAGCTGCTTGTGGTTTTTTGACATTGTGAAAACCAAAATTATTTCATTCTTGGATGATTCGTTATATTATTGCCTCTCATTTTCAGGACTGAGGAAAATGAAAATAATTCATTGAAAAATTATTTTACCACTTGATGCTGCAAATATATAGCTTACAGGTAATTCATCATGTTCCCTGATAAGTGCCAAATTTCCAATTTATCGTTGCCAGGAGAATTTATAGTCAAAGCTGACACCCAGGGCTTTACCAACTAGCCCTGGAGAAACACCTACTAGTATTTCCAGGACAGCTAAGCCAGCAGAAACAAAAAGGAAGGACAGAGTACTCTAGCAGTGACTTGATTTTGCCCTTCATGGTCAGTGTGGCATCTTTGAGCTGTATTATGTACACATCATGAAATAGCATATCTGATTTTTTGTGGGAGAAAGATGAATGTAAAGACAGAGCTTCTGGTACTTTGTATAAAGGACTTGGCTTACAAATCTCTGCTTCTTGTACCCAGGTCCTCAGCAGAAGGAAGGGGACCATGCAGGAGCACGTGGCTTACTCGAACAGTACAACTAGGTAATCAGCATCAATAGGTACTTTGTATAAAGGACTTGGCTTACAGGCTTACAAATCTCTGCTTCTTGTACCCAGGTCCTCAGCAGAAGGAAGGGGACCATGCAGGAGCACGTGGCTTACTCGAACAGTACAACTAGGTAATCAGCATCAATAAAAATGTTACTAAGAGCTCCAAATATGACAAAAAAATGCATTCTGGTTCAATTCTGAATCAAATTTTTATCAATGATAATTGAATGGCGTTTTTTAAGAATCTTTTATGCCAAGGCTCAACAAACAGTCTCCTGGCTCTGACCTGTCTCTCCTTCTGGTCTGGTCCTTCACATAAAGATACACACCAGCTCACAGACACTTTGTCCTGTGGGCTGCACACCTCCCCTCATCACCATTCCCAGGGCTGCTGTGGGGATGGAGCTGCAGTTGGTGTGCACATCATACCTGGCTCTCTGCTAAAGTGTCTGCCACAAGGGACTGAAATCCCCAACACATGGCTGGGCCACTTCCACTGCTAATAATGTGAATTGCATTTCAGTGGGCAACACTGTTTTTAATCACCATAAGTGAACAAAAGGTTAGAAATAGATCTGCCTGAGAGAGTTTATCTAGTGAAAAGAAACAAAGTTGTTTCCTTCTTTTGCAGTTTTAAACCTCCATAGATGACAGACTTTTTAACTGGATGTAAATCACATTATTTCATTTATTAGACATCCAGAAAATCACTTCCCCCGGCCTGGGGCTTTCTCTGCCTTGAGTATGTACAATACTCCCTATAATTTGCTATACTGCTACTTAGATTTTCCTTTTATGCCAGTCACTTAACATACCAAAATACAAAATTCTACATTCAAAAATATAGAAACTAGGTGTATTTCCTACTGCATTAATTAACTATAGCACTTATATTAAAAATAAGAGAAACATTTTCTTTTTGCCATTTTAAATTTATTAAGTTTTCTGCTGTGTTTGTTTGGGATTTCTTTTAAGAAACTTAGCAAAATTTGAGCTTTTATTTGACTTTTTCTTATTTGTGGAAAAGGTTTTAAATGACATTTAATTGTACCTACCCCCAATCAGCATTGTGCAAATGGAGAAGATCTTTTCAGCATCAGTGTTGGCTGAAACATTTCCAAAGCCAACACTGGTGAGGCTGCTGAGAGTGAAATACAGGGCAGCTATATAGGCACTTCTGATTGATGGGCCTCCAAGTGTATTATTCTCATAATAAGGAGATTCAATTCGTTTTCCTAGCTCATGAAGCCAACCTGCAAAACAAAGCATAAAAAGAGTTACTTTTTAGTAATACTGACAACACTGTGAAAACTTTATATTAAAAAAAACAGTTCTAGAAACCCCCAAAAATCTACTTAAAAAGCATTATATTCTTCACATAATTCAAAGAATAAAAAGAACATTAAACTGTGAGAATTTATGCAGCACATTAAGTATTGTCTCTGGGATAGTTATTTTTATGTGCAATTTTAAATGATAAGAATTGTATATCTGCATTGAAATCAAGTGGTTTTGAATTGCATATTACAGGTCTAATGATATAATTTATAAAATCCATTAAGTCACTAAAAAGAAAAAAATCTTCACCTAATAGCACTGCAGCAACAATGCAAGATCATTTGATTCCTTCCATTAATTAATGCTTGGAAAGCTTTTTGACATTCTAAGACTAAATCATTATAATAGTAATTACATATTCAGAGATTTTCACATGTTTCTTTTTCCAGTAGAAAAGATTTAAAGAACTAAACATAACTTACAAACCAGAATTAATTTTCAAAACATGCTTCAGTAAGTATTTTCTAAATTGTTCATTAAATCTTTCCTTTCATTTTGATTAACGGCTCTATGTGTGCCAGAGAAAGCAGAATTAGCTACTGCCTCAGATATTTGAAAAAAAAACAACAAAACAACCCCAAAGCAACAATGCAGGAAAAAATATCCAGCTGGAAAACACGACCTGAATGAATTACATAAACACAATGCTTCACAAAAATCAAGACTGGGGAAAAAAGAAGGAAAAAAACCTGTTTATGTGCCCAGTTTTGCCTGTTAAACAGCTTGCTTGGGAGATTGGGAATCTTTCTTGGGTATATAGGGAGAACCGCCAAAAGAAAATAATCCTGACAGACAGAGTTTTATTTTTAGACAAAATTATTTGGGGGTCCCCCTTTTGTAAGCTGGGACATGACAGACTGAATCACCTCCTGGAGATTATTCTCTCTCCACTTCAGTCAGCGTCCATTTAGATGAATCCAAATATGAACTGGGGGAAATCTCATTGCATAGAATGTCTGCAAAAGTAATGGGTAGATTTAGAGCATCTATCCCAACACTTCCAATCAAGTAGGGAAAAAAGTCTGTAGGAAATTAGCATCTAGAGTAGTCCTGCTGAACCATGGTTGATCCCATGATCAGCTCCATGCTTTCTGGCATGCTGTTCTCCAGAGAAAGCTCAGCCAGAAGGGCTGAGTAATGCACAGCAAGGTCTGGCCATGACCCTGCTAATGCACTCTGTGCAGGACAGGGAAGTTGATCAAAAGCATAAATGGAAGCAATCTGCATTGTCATACAATGGCAGTACTGAGTAGGATGTTTTACCTTGCCAACAGACAGGGAAGCATATGAAAATCCCTTTGATTTTGCCTGGATAGATAGTATTGATCTATTCTCTATCTAAGTGGGACTATTTTATATTTGTGGCTCCCAATTATTTAAAGTGAAAGTAGAGCAAAATAGGAAAAAAAAAAGAAAAAAGAAAAAAGAAGCCTAGTTGAGTCAATATCAGTACTCTGTATATACTGTTTTTCTGAGATTGCGCTACATTTCTCCAACAGTTGGATAGTCCTTTGCATGGCAGATTTAATTCCTTTATTTCTGTAGTAGGGAATGGAATCACAAACATTAAAGAACATAGAATAAAAACCTAAGAAAATCTCTGGCAGAGAGGGAACAAAGTTAAAAAAGGTCTATCTAAACCCAGTGTAAAGCAATACAACCATAAAGTTCAAGATCAGCTCAAGGTTGTTTCAGTTGCAAAACTGAAACAAATAAGTTATTTTAAAGAATGGTAACTGATATGCCTTTTAGGAGAAAATCTCCTGCCTCTGAGTGTTCTAAAATCCACTGATTCTCAGCCTATTTCCTTTTTTCTCACTTTTCATGCATTTCCAGTGCTATCCAGGAAAGGTGGATGACTGCATTCTTTAACTGAGATATATGTGAATTGGTTTCTCCTTTACAACTCATTTTATGTTCAAGGTTTTCATCCAACCCTACTGAAACATTATTGCTCCTAAAGGATTCATATTGCTAGGAAAAGTAAGGTACAAAAATATGTGTTGATATTGTGTCAATCAGTAGAAGCCTCTATAATATTTCTACACAATTTCTACTACCAAAACACCAATATAATAATTTTACAATTTCTAGCAAACACTTCTGGCCAATATACCAGTATCTGAGATGAGTTTAGTATCCAGTGTCTTGTTCTGTGGTATAACTGAAGGTCAGACAAATCATCCCCTCACTAGGATATATGGCTTATTACTGAGCTAAAAGAGTAGCACTTAGCAATAATTAGCAATTATTAACGATTGCTAAAATAATGCCCAAAATGTAAAGAAATGCTAAGAAGTAAATTTATTTAGAGATTTAGACTTGGAAGAGAAAATGTATTTCTGAAAGGGAAAAGCCGGAAAATATATTTCTCTGACTTCTAGATGTGTTTACAGCTTCTCATTTCTATTTTGGCTGGCAGAGATTATCCTAATCAGGAAATTCTGAAAAAATTATATAAAGTGATGTTTCAGCCAGAGTATATAAAATGCTGCAATATCTTCCAGATCAACTGTAGTTCTCATATTTGTTGATAGCACTGCATTTTTTTTTGAGTTTCAGGGTAGAGGTGAGCTATGGATGGGTGTAAATACTTTCATAATCCAATGGAAACAGTCATGAAGTAGTATCACTGACAAATGCCTTTTCCTCTTCAGTTTCTGTAGGTAACAGCTCTCAGCAGATTCTCTGGCAAGCTTGAGTAATTAATTTCTGCCCTCAGGGAAGAAGAGAAAAATAAATATACCTTGTAGTCAGAGGGAGTTTCCTAGAATTTAGCATTATGAGTCTTGTCTGGTTCAGAATTAGCATTGTCTAGGCACAGCTCTCTGACTTTGAAAACATTTTAAAGTACCAATTAGCATAATTAAGAGGAAGGCCTTTCAAAGGGAAAAAGAGCACTTAAGTAATCACGTCCCATTGGAAAAGTCAATAGAAATTGGATATCTAGCTCCATTAGGCTACTTTGAAAATTGCTGTAAGAATCTGTATTGAGTTTCATTTACTTATATCTGGGAAGTACTCAAGTATCAGCAGAAGCCTAAAAAACCATTTAAACCTCCATAGATGACATACTTTTTAGCTGGATGTAAATCACATTATTTCATTTACTAGACATCCAGAAAATCACTCCTTCCCCTGGTTTGGTGCTTTCTCTGCCTTGAGTATGTACAATACTCCCTATGATTTGCAGCTTCATTCTATACTACTACTTAGATTTTCCTTTTATGCCGGTCTCTTAACACACCAAAATACTGTCTGGTACTTCAAAAACTTAGAAACTAGGTGCATTTTCTACTATATTAATTAACTATAGCACTTATTTTAAAAATAAGAGAAACATTTTCTTTTCCAGTTAAAAAAAAGGCCCAAGGTCTTTGGTTTATTCTATGCTACAGTGTCAGGAAGAATAAAGAGGTGTGGATAAGGAACGTCTCAGAGCATCCCTGAATGTCTGAAAGCAATAGCAGTGATGATGCTAAAGGAGAAAAGTATGAGACAAAGGCCGAGCTTCTCTCAGCTATAATTCCATATCAAATTTAGGGACTTCAAGTATTCCTAAGGAAAATGTGAAGGTAGAAAAGCCTATCTGCTCTCACATAATCACTTTTTTTCTAATGTTTAAACCTCACTCAGGGCCAGACCCAGACCATACTTGGCCCTTTCATGCTAGTGAGGAGAGAGAGTAAGCAATACTAAGCTGATAGTAGAAAAAGAGAATATGTAGTGAGAAATCTTGGAATTAACTAAAAGACACTGTCGATTGTATTTAGTGAGGATTATATTCAAGGAGTATGTCTCAGGCTGAGTTTTGTTTTTCTGGCTCCACTGAAAAGAAATAACAATAGAAAAATATCCTGAACTGGAGCACATGCAGCCTTGTGATATAAATAGATTGTAAGTTTCAACACAAAAGTCACTATCCTATGGCTACTAATGTGTGTTGCAGTGAACATTTTAGTGCCGTTAAGGAGAAGACAAAAACTGTACAAGAGAAATTAGATCCTTCATCATTGGAATGCATTTTAAAATTAAAATCACCCTGTAGCCTGAGAGCTGTGCAGTAGTCCCTGATCACTGCTGATAGCTCCTAATTTCAGATCTAGAGCCAGGCAGCCAGAAGCTGTAGGTTTGCACAGCAAAGCACACCACCCTTTCATCACATAGCAGCATCCTCTAATCTGCAAATAAACATCTCATATTTCCATTTTAAATGGGGGAAAAATGGTCCAAGTTTCTGTTGATCTCAATGAACCAAGATTCTCAGCTGTATTCATCTCTAACTTTCTTTGTATTAACCTCCACAAAATAGACCTTAAGGCAGAACATTTGTGAAGAGAGACCAAGGAGGTGAATTTCCTTCTTTTTAGGTAAAAGCACCTGGGATTACAGTTTCTGTGATTTTACATGTCCAAATCACTTCCCTCAACTGTCTGTGTGTCTTCTTCAGAATGTAACATAGCTAAAATTCATTTGAAGATAGGAGGCCAGAGCTAATATTGTATTTGAGATGAGATTTTTTATAACAGCATAATGAATATATTTTATCATCTCAAACCCTAATTATCATTCATTAGACCTTAAAACAGTAGCTTCTTTTTTAAGATCTCTTGCAAAGAATTCTGCACAATTACGCTCTGGGTGTTGCTGACTGATATAATTCATTCAGAATCTAAAGGTGTCTGAGAAGACGAAATCATTTTATTTCTTCTTGTGTGTATGACTGCATTATTGAATAATCATTGCTTCTGTTCTCATGGTGACTACTCAGGCTCTTCACAACAGCTTCAAAGCTTTTTTTATCCCTGTCTAGCCAAAATGTTTTTGACATGTGCAACTTTTCCCAGCTAAAACCTTTGTAGTTTTTCCCCAGACTATTAATAGACCAAACAGCACCATTCCTACTATTTCACCC